GAAAGGAGCGACGCCCCGTCGCCTCGACACCGTTCATGAAGTTGTCCGACCCAGCCCCGTCGTCGGAGGCATCCTCGTCGTCATCGTCGTCGCTGTTCGAGTCGGATGATATGTCGATCGTCTCTTGCGTCTGGTTGCGGGCCGAAGCCTGAATGTTGTCGGTCGAGGAGACGGCCGTCCTGCTCTCGTCGATGCGGGCCTTGGTTGGGACTTTGATGGCCGACTTGACGGCGGGGGGCGCGAACCGCGCCGATGCCTTTCTCTTGGCGGACATGATTGCAGCAGCCTTTCTTTTTTTTTTCTTCCTGGTTGCTGCAGAGACCTTTTCCTCGTCGTGTAAATTGAGAGGGCAGACGAGCAATTGAGCGGGCGAAAGGGTGCAGAAGAGCCTTGTTGAGACAACCTCTGGATGCTGCCGAGAGAGAGTCTGGAGGTTGCTGCTGCGGTGAACTTTTTTTCTGGGCCCTGCCAAATTTTCCAGCACGACTGGAGCGGTCGATGCAGGGAAGCGGGTCGGCGGGGGATGACTAAGGACACGTGATGGCCACGCTCGGTGTGAGCTACCATCTCACCGAGCAACCATGGAAGCTCACACCGAGCAACCATGGTGAATGGTGGTGGTCGACGCTTGCGGCGCAGCAGCCAGGAACGCCACGCCATTTCTGCAGACCGCACCCGGCTGGTGGCCTTTCACGTGTGCGACGCATGTGGCGTATTCCTGGGCCAGTAGTCATCTGACCTGCACGGCTGCGACCGCTCATCCAGCAGAAATCTCGACCCTTCTGGAAAGCCTCGTCCAATCACAGAAGCGTCGCATCACCTCTTTGTCTAGCCATCCATCTTGCCCGGTCGACGCTGCAGATCCGGCTCTGTGTCGCAAGAAGTCTTCTGTGTGAAGTACCTAGATGGCACAACTTACCACCGGAGGGTTGCATCAGCAAATTCTCAAGAACTAAGATGCCAATGCAATGCATCCACCCTCTGCCAGTCGCCCATGTCTCCCAAAGCTGAAGCCCGGGTGGTGGGTGATGGGGTGGAAGCGTCAGGGCGGGCTGGCTGTATTTAGTCCCAGGACGAATTTCTACTGGTTTTACCCAACTCTCCCTCTTTCTACCCTTCTCGGTGGCCTGTGCATTCATCCTGCCCCGCCACATCTTGAATTGCAGCCACATCTGGATCCTTCAAGCTTTTGCTTCCTTCGCTTCCTTCCCTTCACCGCGCGTGCCGCAGGCGCATGCGCAGCAGCACAGAACTTGGAGAGGCCTATTTCGAGTGAGTCAACACGTTCCCATTGTTGTCATGCCTCGCCCCCCTCTCCGTCTGGATCTCCATCACGACCATGTTTGTTTGCTCGTGCGATCCATGCTCAGGCACACCTCGAGCGACATCCCAGCTCGTCATTCCCCCTTTGGGCCTCGTCATCGTCAGTCCC